GAACATACATATTCCCTATAGAAAAAAATGACAAAGGAGTGGAATAAGCCTGTATGGTCTAGCAAAGGTTTGAGATATCATATTATGGATAAACATAATAAATTAAAGAAATTTAAACTTACTGGAAATAATAAAGACATGGAGGACTATAGTAAATCAAGAGAGCTGGTAAAAACGGAAGTTAAAAGGGCAAAAACTGTATATGAAAGAGGGTTGGCTGAGACAGTTAAATCAAACAATAAGGAATTATTTAGGTATATGATGAGTAAACAAAATGTTAGGATGGGGATTGGACCTCTTAAAAATGATAGTGGGGACCTGATCTCAGAAGATTATGAGATGTTAAACTTATTAAATTATATGTTCTCTTCAGTTTTTACGAAGGAATATAGAAGTATCATGCGCCAACCAGAGCACTTAATGTATGGGGAAAATATTGATGTAAAAGGTGTCATTTTAAGTTCTGAAATTGTAAGTGAAAAGTTGGGAAACCTAAAAATTGATAAATCCCCTGGACCAAACAACTTTTGTCCTAGAATTTTAAAGGAACTTAAAGACTTTATTTGTGAACCGCTAGCTAATGTTTTTTGTAGGTCATTGAGTAGTGGAAGAATATTAGAAGATTGGAAGTTGGTTAATATTAGTCCAATGTTTAACTGAGTTGATAAACATTGTCTAGGCACTTATAGGCCAGTTAGTCTTACACCAGCAGTTGGAAAGGTTTTGGAGAGTGTTTAATGATGCATTGCAGAGTCAATTAAAGCAGTTTGATACAGTGTCAAAGAGCCAACATAGTTTCACTAAGGGTAAGTCTTATTTAACAAATCTTCTGACATTCTTTAAGGATGTTACTACAAGAGTTGATGAATGAAATATTGTGGATTTGGTTTATTTTGATTTTCAGAAAGCGTTTGATAACAAAAGACTTGTTACAAAAATTAAATCTATGGGTATGGGGGGAAATGTTATTAAATTGGACAGAAAATTGGCTGGCGAGTAGAAAGCAGAGAGGAGTAATAAATGGAGTTAGATCTGACTGGATCATAGTTCCAAGCGGTGTGCCTCAGGGTTCTGTGCTGGGTCCTCTGCTGTGTATGATTTATATTAATGATATTGACTCTGGAATGACTAACAAAAGTTTGAAGTTTGCAGAAGGCATTAAGATTTTTGGAGTGGCTAACTGTATCAAAGATGCTGCAGACTTATAGGGAGATTTAGATTATTTGATGCATTGGGCTAATATATGGCAGATGACGTTTGACTATCCAAAATCTAAGGTGATGCATGTAGGTTTCACAATTCCAATTATTGTTACAACTTAAATGGGAATACATTAAACACTGTGGTTGAAACAAAAAGATCTTGGTGTTGTGATCAAAAAAT